ACACGTCATTACACAGCAACATTATATCAGCTGTTGTTGTCACACGACTTGCTGATTGCTGTAATCACAACTGTTTTAATACAATTTAATATTCAACCTTGTAAAACTGAAATATGAAATATTGGAAATCATTATGGAAACGCACAGGTGATACTCTTAATGAAGTCTAAAACCATGAGTAAATGACCAGTTTATCATTAGCATAACACATCATTACAGAAAATACAAAGAAAAGCAATTATGTTTTACAATGCTAGAATTTTGTTTTTATGTTTCCCTTAATGTAGTATTGTTTAATCCTGTACTACTGCTCACAATGCAGCTAACTTGTTTGGTTGTCGTTCGAACTACAGCGTTAATAATAATATCCATATCTGGACTTCGTGGAGGCCAAATCGTGGTTTCCAGTGTTTATCGGCCATTTTTTTACCTCCTCGTATCGTTTTACAATATTATTGCATGTTTGAGATCGCTGTCTTTCTGGAAGAGGAATCTGTGAGCAGTGAGGTTGTCATCAGTTTCGTGTAGACTTCCAACACACAGCCCACACTTGTACTGTTTCCTCAACATGTCTCACTGTCATTTTTGTACGTTGACTATAATAAAGTTTTCCTCTCTGCCTAGCCTGGAGATTAGAGCACTGTACGAGTAACCTGTGGGTCACGGAATCGAAACCCGTCGCCTAACATTCATACCCTTTCAGCCGTAGAGGCGTTATAATGTGACGGTCCATCCCATTATTCGTTGGTAAAGAATAGCTCAAGAGTTAGCGGCAGGTGGTGTTGACTATTTACCTTCTCTCTAGTCTATAACTTCAAAATTAAGGGCGACTATCGCATATAGTTCTCGACTTAAAATAAGACCCAAAAACTCGAGCCCTTTCGAATAGCTGACTATTCTTTCTCTACTGTCAACTATTCGAAAGCGCTCAAGTTTTGGGACTTATTTTAAGTCTATTACACTTCATATGTGATCCTTTGTGCTAACTCTTTTATCAAAATGCATATAGTTCTCGGGTAGCTTTGCTCAGAATTCAACAAATAATCCTTTCTGCCATCGAACAAACTATCGTTGATTATTGCCACGCAATTTTATTGTAGACTTATCTGTAAACGTCACCTTCCTCCAGCCTTCCTCATTCCATTGTTCGCAGTCTGATGTCAGTTTAAGATTTTTGGTTCAGTTCTCTCTCTCATAATCAGTAGTTTTTGAGCAGCTGAACATTAAGTGAGGCCACTTCATGCTAATGTGTATCATACTGTTATGGAAGTAGCTTTCACCCCTGTACTTACAGCTAGATTAATGGTAAGATTAATTAATTCAAGTGTATCACTTTTGAAAAGTTTGATCGTTTTACTTCGACTGCTTATTATAAACAGTACTAACTCATTATAACCTTTTCAGTTTTTATACAGCTTCTATTGAAACATGAAACCTCGCCTCAATCTGTCAAAAGTATTCTTCACCAACCAAAAACCTTGATCAGGTGGCATTTCTGTCCTAGTGCAATTACCACACTACTGCTGGGAATAGTATAGTTGTTTGTACTTTTATAGGTATTATGTTGATGTGGCACTGTTATTAGTTAAGGAGAGGCCCTCCAATAATATTTGCATTTTATGCCTATTACATTTACTGTTTACAAAAGTATTTCAAATACTTTAGAAAATGGCCTAGATCTAGAAATACTAATAAAATTTAGGATGAAAATGAAGAAATTTAATGGAATGGTCAACACAACTATAACGTTCGTTTTTAATTTTGCAGATGATTAGCGAGATAACCATAATACAGTCACTACTTCATTCTTTTCGGAGGTCAGGTTTTATTGTAGGATTTGAAAATTTTAACTTTTGATTTGGGAAGTGAATAAATAATTAGTTACGTTTCAAAATTAGTCATAAATATTAGTTTATGATGTTAGAATATACTGGATGTTTTTTGTTTTTTTTACAACGAATAACATATTATAGTTACAACGCTTTCAAAACTTACAAAATGAACATCTTTATTAAGGTAAACAAATCCAGGCAAATGTTCTTAGAAGTTCTTCGTGAACACGATTGGTCCATCCATGACTTTTGTTAATACACACTGTTAAGTTTGTTGCGCGTAGCAGGAGATCAGTTCAGGTTCATAGCACTTCTCTCGTGATGTCCACAGTGGCCAAATTATTCAGCTGGCCTTAAGTAACGTGTCCACCATCATGTAAGAGGATGAGAATATTGAAAGTACCTTCTGAAGATTTTACAGAAGGTTGGTAGTTAGTTGTCGTTTTTACCATATGGATAAGTATCTCAACATAGGGATCATGTAAGAGGATGAGAATATTGAAAGTACCTTCTGAAGATTTTACAGAAGGTTGGTAGTTAGGAATGTGTAATCATAGTTGTCGTTTTTACCATATGGATAAGTATCTCAACATAGGGATCATGTAAGAGGATGAGAATATTGAAAGTACCTTCTGAAGATTTTACAGAAGGTTGGTAGTTAGGAATCATAGTTGTCGTTTTTACCATATGGATAAGTATCTCAACATGTTTGTTTCAACCAACAAAGAAAATCAACCCTAATATTGCAGTTTAAAGTTTTAATTTCCGAGATGTTTGTTCCATATAAGCTTTCATTTAAGTGACTTATTTAATGAAAATAAACACATTGGGCAGAAAAACATACAACAAAGCCCATCAACTGCACTAAGTTAATAGAATTTATGTGACTGACAATTTTTAAGGGACCTTTGGCCACAATCAATTCTTCTTACGTTTTCATAATAGTTTTCTCTGCAAGTGACAAGTAATCAATTCTAATAGAAAAGTTAGTCTACTCAGCACTGCCTTGGTAAGAGCTTTTAGTTTCTATGTTAATAAAAAGGTCAGAATTATTCGTGCGAACATCAGATTGAAGATGACTTAGTGGCTGTGAACATGGCGTTATACACAATATGTACCGTGAGGAGTTTCTTGGCTTTTTGTTTATTTTAATCGTGAAATTACTTTATTTCTTGCAACGTTCAAAATTTGTGCACGTAACTTTAATAACCTAGAATTGAAGAAATTCAACTTCAAGGAAAGAAAAAAAACAACAACAACAACATGTTCTCGTTCATCTAGATTTGTAACGTTAACTTCGTTTCCTTCCGAGTTAGTTCACGAGAGTTGGAAACACCTTACATTCAACAAACAACTGACGTATTACCATGATCTTTCGTCAACCACTGATTTATGTCGTCAACGTCATATTATTTTAGGATGACCAAACACAAGTTTTTATGCAGTAAATGTAATTTGTTGGATCTGTCAGAGAAGAGACACCATGCTATTCTATGTAATGTGTGTATATATATATATATATATATGTTATTTTTGAAAGATCACCACGACAGAATCTTGTATCGTTTTTCACTAATAATAAGATCTCAATACGTAAACTGTTTGCAAACGCATTTAATTTTTCTAATACATATATTTTCTATATTATTGAAATTTAGACAATCCTTATCTTTTAAACATAGACGGTTGTCCATGAAGCATATACCCATTATTTTCCGATCTCTCGCAGTATATCCCTAGACTTGGTGTCACGTATACTTCATCTTTTCCGATCTCACGCAGTAAATCCCTAGACTTGGTGTCACGTATACTTCATCTTTTCCGATCTCTCGCAGTATATCCATAGACTTGGTGTCACGTATACTTCATCTTTCCGATCTCTCGCAGTATATCCCTAGACTTGGTGTCACGTATACTTCATCTTCAGCTTAGACAATTATTGCTTTTCTTATTTTTCTTATGCAACTATTATGTGATTGAAAAGAATCAGAAGCCCATCAAACCAAAGTTGTAGTTAAAAAAACAAACAAAAAAACACACCAGTCTTTTCCTAACGAGGAGGCCGGGGGTTGAGCTAGTTAAAAAATTCAGGGGGCTGCACTTTACCTATTGTGGGCACACATACAGCAGTATTTAAGAATTGAATCAGTTTCAACAGTAAGCTTGTTTGTTTGTAGTTAAGCCCAAAGCCACATAATGGGCTATCTGTGGCTGTGCTTAACGTGGGTATCGAAACTTGGTTTTTAGCATTATATATCTTCAGACTTACCGTTATGTCACTGGGAAGGACTTTAACAATAATCATTGGCATTGTTCATTTAGATGTTGGATCTACAGGGGAAGCCAAGGTACATTTTGGGATAACTTCAGCACCAACAAGCCCGCACACCTCTTTACTGCCATTCCTGGAATAACTTAATCATTGCTATTTATAAACAAATGTTCGTAGATTGTAAAAGCAGCATCTTTCCATTAAATATTAGAACAAGTATAATAACAAAAAAATGAAATTATGAAGACCATTAGGGATCGACGTATTCGTAATCTAGCTAGCTATAGTAATATAGAAAGTTTTAATACTACAAAATCTTTTTATCCCTATTTTGGCAAATCACTGTAATTATGTTAGTATGTGCCAAAGTAGGGATAAAATTTTTAAGTTTTAAGAAACGCAGTTTTGTAGTTTTGCTTTCTTATTTTAATACTTACTATATTACTATAACTAGCTAGATTACGTACATGTCGATCCCTAATTGTCTTCATCAAATTTAAGTTTTTTTATTATAATTGTTTTTTTTTCCTTTTTATTAACTATATTTGTGTGTAACAGCAATACCAGGGGTTAGGTACGCGTGTTCCTGATTCGTTGTTATTACTCATCAGGATCTCTACCAACCTATCCTCAAATCAAAAATAATCAAATGCCCAAAGTAGCGCATATATGCACACTAGTATCCTTTTTAGTAAAAGAAAGGAATCATTGGGACCCCAGACTGAAGAGTTCTGTGAAAGAATTAGAGCGATAAGTAAGGTTCGTCATTTTTTCTGCACGCCTGTCTAGAAAAGTCACTTACTTACTTACTGATAAAAGCTTCTGTTCGATATTCTGGATTTTTCTATTAAACCCAATATTTCAATAAAAAAATGACTTACATACGAAGATAATACAAACTTTTTATTTATTAACTGAGTTTGTTTTCATTACAATTTTCCTTTTAATTTTACACTACGCGATTTTACAATTCATCTTCAAAGCATTTTGCTGGATAAAAATTAGTAAAATAAACACAATAATAGTAAAACCGAATGAAGGGAAAATTGTAACACAGTTATTACAATCATAGTATTTACAGTTGACTTTCTGAGACTGATGGAGTATAACTTCAGCAATTTTTACATTACTGTCTATGAAATACTTGACTTCCTCATGGCAATGTGTATCCGTCATTGCTTTCTCTTGACATACCCTTAATTTGCAGAAATTCCTGTTAAAGTAAAAAAAACAAAAAACATACATACAACTTTTATTAAAATCAAGAAACCATTACCCATAACTGAAAATCTAACCTACATAATCACTCATTATTTGTTATGGTAAAATTTACTTGTATATCCTAAACCTTCAACAAAAGGTAAAACCAGCATATTACAATTACAAGTAGCTCGTTATTTTAAGTATACATTCACACCAGTTGTTTTTATTTTAAACATCGAAAAACGTAAGGATGTTAAAAACCTCTCAGATAAATCCAGAATTTAAAACTTTTCGTTAAATATTTTTCATAAGGCTGATGAAACGAACAATATGCATGATTATTTCTTATGCAACACACACACACACACTTGGTTGAAATAAAACATAAAAAATACCCGTGATTTCAGCTTTAAACACTCAAATAATGTACAGATTGATACTAATAAGTACTGAGAGTTGACCGCACTTTGTAAGAGTAAGGTTCCAGGTCTCTGGATGACCTTGAATGTACTTCCTCCATTGTTAGTCGTGCACAGTTTGATGATCACGATAATTAACATTGTATTGTAACAAACTTCTCCGGAAAACAACAATTTCAATCTTCTACTACACATCTTGCCAACTTTTCACGGTCTTACGTGGACGTCCGCTTCTAAGGTCTCGTTTAACTGGAACAAAGGCGAAAAAGTTCATTGGAACTGCATCGGAAACTTTACAGGTATGTTTTAAATGGAACTATTCTGATTCCAGAAAAGTACGGTTGACTTCCACGTGTGGCTGGCTCATGAGCCTTCGTCAGTTTGAAATCCTTGTTGTTGTGTTCTTATGTTGCTAACGATACCAGGAGATATGTCCAACGTCATTGCAAAGGCGTTTTAGGTCAGAGGGTTCTCTATCTTAACCGTATCCTTCACTTTGTGGATGAGTACGTTTAACCAGACTGGGTTCCCGAGCACGATGCTATCCCAAACGTTTTGATGCGAGAGTACATGAAGAATACTGAAAAACTCCCTTCTTTTAAATAGGTTAAGTTATTTGGCATTACATTGTTTAACAGCCTCTCTATACGATAATTCCCCATTTGAAAAGGCATAGAAATGATTGTAGTCATAAATGTAGCACGACGGCATTGCACTCTCGAATGATAGGATATTACCCAAACATAAGAATTTTAATCATGTCACCCGTGGCGAAATGCTTAGATCGTTTCTTTAGCTATGTCCGTCTGTATGACCGAGTGGATTAGACATAAAAGTTTTATCCTGTAAAGTAGGTATAAACACATATCGGCACAGAATTATCAAAATAACATATTCAACATGAATGTTTTATAATCTACTTTTAAAATTAGTACAACAGTATGGTACTCAATAGCAGGGGACAAACTTTAGCATATCATACAATCTACTTAACTTTATCTTTCACTTACATCAAGTCTTATAATGTGGAGGACTTTTTTTCTTCTTCTATAACTAGCTGTTGATAAGCAAAATTTTTCGATAACGGCATACTGAAGAAAAATGTGAATTTAGTTCAAGGTCATTCATACTCACCACGATAACAGTCAAATAATTAGGTCAATATCATTCATACACACCACGATAACAGTCAAATAATTAGGTCAATATCATTCATACACACCACGATAACAGTCAAATAATTAGGTCAATATCGTTTATACACACCACGATAACAGTCAAATAATTAGGTCAATATCGTTTATACACACCACGATAACAGTCAAATAATTAGGTCAATATCGTTTATACACACCACGATAACAGTCAAATAATTAAGTCAATATCATTTATACACACCACGATAACAGTCAAATAATTAAGTCAATATCATTTATACACACCACGATAACAGTCAAATAATTAGGTCAATATCATTCATACACAACACGATAACAGTTGCATGATTAGGTCAAGGTTATCATGCTCACCACAACAACAGTAAAGCAATTTGGTCAAGATCACTTTATCCAATCCATCAGCCGTCAGATAAGTCAAGACCATCATGATCAGTTCTACAACAGTAAACGAATTAGGTCATCATCATCATGCTGGTAACACTAATATGCTTTCACTCTACAACAGTTGATGCATAAACAGCAGTGTGATATGAACTTAGGTAGTTCTTTCTTTGATGCACCATTTCGCTATGAGATAGTGTTACGACATCCCCCTCAATTGTATTTGATGTCATTCAGTACCCCACCCCCTCCTCTAACACCAACACCACGGCTTCGGTTATGATTATATAGATACTATTTATTATATCGTCCTCCCCTCTAAACCCTTTAAATTTCGACATTAGCATATCATTATCACACAACAATAGCTACAAACCCAATAATGACCACCAGATAATTAATTGTATCAGCTGAAGGTGTTTTAGTAATAGACTTGGATTACGGAGAAGTTGAAATAAAAACCAGGATCAACCTAAAAAACACTCCAGAATGATAATTTTGTTTTTGCTAGAAGCACGAACTGACTAACCTTTTAGATCTATTAGCCATTTTGATGATAATAAATTCAAAAGAGAATAACAAAAAAATATATATTCGTAATATTTATAATTTACGGAGTGTTTATGATGAACGTTATTCTCTAGATTATCAGACTGACACTCGACAATTTACGTTAAACTCGGTATCTGTAGGTCATGGGTCAATCCTTCATTTTAGTTAGTGAATGAGGACGATAGGCACAAGAAGTACGAGGTTCTCATGCCTTGGAGACGTCGAATTCAAGCTATTCCTTATTTGATAAAATACAAGAGAAGTGTGTGGTATTTTTAGTCCATCGTATCTGAGTACATCTTTGTTTTCTATTGACCACTTATGTGAATATGAAAGGACATTCTTTAATTTCTATCTTTTATTTCTGATAAAGCTACTAAAGCTATCTCCGCCGTTCCTAACTTTGAGCTAACAGCCAGACGGAAGGAAACGACTCAGCAGCATCATATCACCCATCATCCACGTTAAGGAACTGATTGTCATTCTTATAATGCACTTACAGTTAAAGTGCTGAGAATATTTTATGGTAGTACACGGATTCGAACCCTAAAGCTCTACCACAATTCCAACCCACGTTTTACATTGTTTAGTCTGTTTGTAGTAACGCACAAAGCTACAATACTCTGCCCACCACCGGTATCGAAACCCGGTTTCTAGTGTTGTAAGTTCGCTGTATCACTGGGGGGCGTTGTTTAGTCATTACTTGATTGTAAGAAAGAGTAGGTTGGTGTTTTGCAAAAAGTTTTAGAGACATTAAAAAAATTAAGAATTCTAAATGTCGCTCGATATTATGGTGTAAAAACGGTAGATGGATTTTAAAAGTAAAACAATGCATCAACCAGTGTCAGAATTACGAATATTATGGTGTAAAACACACGATATTATGGTGTAAAAACGGTGGATGGATTTTAAAAGTAAAACAATGCATCAACCAGTGTCAGAATTACGAATATTATGGTGTAAAAACGGTATATGGATTTGAAAAATAAAACAATGCATCAACCAGTGTCAGAATTACGAATATTATGGTGTAAAACACACGATATTATGGTGTAAAAACGGTAGATGGATTTGAAAAGTAAAACAATGCATCAACCAGTGTCAGAATTACGAATATTATGATATATATTTTGTGAAGTATACCTCACGCATTGTGGGCCCTGTCGACGTATATTACTTTGTGCTTCATAGTCATTCCATGCACTGGTTTGGATACAAACTCACTTAACTAACTGAGTATATGTAACTGAGGAACACATATTGTATAAGACACCTTTTATAAAACCTAACCCTATCGATAATATGTCTTCCTAAAAAAAGTCGGTGAAACGTTACAAATGATCCTATTTTTTTAAGTTAAAAGGCATTAGCATTTAGTTGTAATGAAATAGCCTTTCAAGATAACGTTCAGCTGGACCTACATGCCATGGTCTGGAAATACAAAATCGATACCGAGTAGAAGCTTGCTATCAAAAACATCTTTGTAACACCCTTCTAAGGCTCTAAAGGACATTTACAAGTGTGGGAACTAGAAATGTTGGAAATTTTATCAGCATTGAATTCGCACCCCTCCCGTATTAATACCATCTTGGTTCATAATATCTCCCAAGAGGGGTTTACAATCAATAACCGTGCCTTTTCAATAAGCCTAGTTCTCATCATACAACTGCGCGGTTAATGTTTGTGGCATTTTTGGTAATAACGACAGTAATTCAAAAACTATTTTCACAGTTACCTCTTTAGATAGTTTGGTCGCTGTGAAAATAAATAATACAATTACTTAAAGCTCCTCTCGTGAAATAAGGAACCAAATTTCAATAAATTATCATTAAATTTTAATTGGACGGTAAGAAGTTTTGTGAACAAGAGTACGCCTTTCATACGTGATGAGAGTAGCACGATTAATTAAATAGACAAGGAAAACTAAACACGCACTTCGGGCTGTAATTACACGCACTTAGGAACGAGCATGAATATTTGTGCTATGTTTCGATTCATGGAACAAATCCAAAGACAAGAATAAAAAACTGGAACATTATAGAAATTGCGATGTGAAAGTCATCATTCCAATAGACGTAAAGAAACGTACATACTTTAAAAGTTTGGGTTTCACTGTGAAAGTCATCATTCCGATAGGCGTAAAGAAACGTACATACTTTAAAAGTTTGGGTTTCACTGTGAAAGTCATCATTCCAATAGGCGTAAAGAAACATACATACTTTAAACGTTTGGGTTTCACTGAAGTCTGCAACATTTTAGTATCTAGCCGGTATAATTACTTAAGAAAATTAGTTTGTTTGTTTGTAGTTAAGCGCAAAGCTATACAAAGGGATATCTGTGCTCTGCCCACCAAGGGTATCGAAACCCGGTTTTTAGTGTTCTAAGTCCGCAGACATACCACTGTGCCACTGGGGGGCCAAGAAAATTTGAACTTAAAAGTTGTTGATGGACAGACCTCATTATAACCACTGTACGCTGAAGTGCAGTGTCAGTTTTGTTTTCCCCACTGTTATGTGAACATGTGGAATTACATGTATTTACAACACAATGTAACTAAACTTTTAGTTAAAACTTTAAGGTATTTATACATAGTTTTGTGTGAGATAGTACAGAATTGTATATAGTTCTATATGAGAAACGTAGTGTTATTGTATTGTCTTACAGGTGTCAACAAAGCGTTGTTACACAATGTATTGTTGCATACGTCAACAATATATTATTGTACACATTATATACGTCAACAATACAATGCGTTTGTTTTGTTTTATACTCCCCTTAATTAAACTTTACAGAATGTAACAACTTGTTTATACACTTCATTTTTTTAAATTACATCTATGCACAATATAAATGTGCCTAACCCTGAAAGATGTAGCCTAATTTTTCAGTTCAACTCTACATACAAATCCGAGTATAGGATATATAACAGTGAACACGAGAAGGGTGTGAAGCAAGCCAGAGAAACCTAAAAAATTCACACAACGTTGAAAATTAAGCAAACACTGTTATTAATAAATATATAGGGATTCAAGAAAACTTGAGCTATCACATCAGGTACGTCACTGTCAAACAATGAACATGGGCAAAAAGCCGACGTGCCGTATTTTGTGTAAAAAGTACTTACATGTATGAGCAGTAGATGGCGTAAGTACTTATAATAATAATAATATGAATTTTGTTCTTCCAAAATACAAAACTTTCAATATCCTCTCACTTAAGCATGCACAATACTTTTAACCACTTTTTACACTGCTACAAGTCAGCACTGAAAACAGGATATAAGACTGATGTTACACATGAAATGTTCTCAATTATATTTTTAACTCGATTAAAACCGATATTAACTTGATTCTAGCAATCCTACTGACGTAATTACGTCGGAAAGACTAGACTTTATTCAACGGCCCTCATCCTTCAGTAGTAGACACTTACCTACGTAACGCACATTAACCAGTTTTAATCAACTTGTTTTACACTGTTTATTTACTGAACTGAGGTATTGCGAACTCCAAATCTATGTGATATGATTATACATAATTCCACACGAGAATAGTATTGTCATTGTACAGTCTTACACATGAGCAATATCATATAATTATGCATAGTTCTATACGTCAGCAATATCACATAGTTCTATACGTCAACAATATTATATAATTATATGTCAACAATGTCATGTAACTATACACAGTTCTATGCATAAAAAAATATAATTAGCTAGTTTTTTCTTTGCCTTTGAACTTTCCAGACTATAACAAATTGTTTATGCATTTCGTTTTTAAAATTATATTTGTGCAAAATTTAAACATGTTGCTTAGCCCTGAAAGCTGTTATTTTATTCTTTATTAATCTCCTTGAAAGTATAAAACTAGGAATTTAGGGTGTTACAGACATCCCTGCTTATTTTCAATTCTGGGTATGAACTAGCTTTCTCTTTCATAAAATAAAACTTACCAACAGAGTATCTCCGGATTGCTTTTTATGGCTTTTCCTTTGTCTTCTACTGTGGATCTGAATTCCTGCGAACATGTTGTAGTTAGGTTTATGGCCGATTCGATATCACACGTTTGCGAAACGAACCCTAGAATCACATAAAAAATCATTAAAAGTCAGCATTAACTGAATGGATAGTAACAACAGAAGAATATCCTGAAAGGGAATAAGTAAGGAGTTATTCCCTTTAGCTTAGTGAACAGACCACGCATGTGGTTCACGAGAGGTCTCTGGTTCGAGCCCACTTCAAGGAGATTAAAGAGTTAAATTATCCCATAAAGTTAGAAGTTAGCTGTTTCCCTTGATTTGATGTTAGGCTGGAAGGAGCTTGAGTATTTTATAGCTCACCTAGTAGGAAATGCAATTAGTGCTTTTGTTTGGCAAAGCTATCTCTGAGGGCAATCTACACTAGTCATCCCTAATTTTGAAGTGATAGACTAGAGGGAAGGCAGCTAGTGAACTCCACCCGCCACCAATTCTTGGGCTGCTCTTTACCAAAAGAGCAATGAGATTGACTGTTACATTATAATGCTCCCATGAATGAAAAAGCGAGCGACCAGCAGAGTGCGAGTCAAGCGCCCTAGCAAGCTGGCCATGCTAGACCGCAATTAGTACATTCACTAAGTAAGTGTAGATCAATACTAAATTTTGGACTATAACAAATAGGTATAGTCCAAGTAATAACATACATCTTTGAATGTGTATAAATACGTATAATACGAAATTTGTTAAAGATCAGTTTATATGGCACAATGTTTCCATTAAACTTCTTCCTACCTTTGCAAAGTTATTTAATTTTCTTTGTTCAATATTAAGAGTTTTTTCATTGACAATTGAGCTCATTATTCAATGGAATAGCACACACATACACAGAAGCACAGATAAAAAAGAAAACTACGAAGCAGAAGGAACAGTAAAATTAATTTACTTTGTTCTCTCATTCTTAGAATTTTTATTGACTAAGATCATTCAGTGATTGACAAACTTGGATGTGATCAGTCATGCTTCGATCAATTTTACAGAATTTTTACACGAGAAGGCCCTTGTGATACCATGGGCGAATGACCCAGAATGATAGGTAACTAGGGCAAAAGGAATTGTTAAACCTACAAGTATATGTATACCTGAATTTTTTTATATAAAGCCTTATGTGAACTATAGAATTAAATAGGGGAGGGGGTACAAAAAACTTAATACACCTGCACACTATAACATGCTTCACACGCATAATGTACTTTATAAAAGTATGAGAAATGTGAGGACCACGACAAAGTAGCGTTGAGAAAATGTTACAAAACAGTTGACGTGAAATCTGAACGTTAAAAGAAACAATAAATGTGTAGAAGATTAATTGTTATAAATTGAATTTTAGAAATAAACTTTGTTTCACACAACCAGGAAGAACGAGGAAGATGCAGAAATTAGATCTTCGATATTTTGTTGGAAAAATATATAAAAGAATAACTATTCATAACACCTTCATGTATGTTTTAATATATATATATTTATTTTAACATCTATATTTCCCATCCATTCCGTGCAACTAAGAAGTAGATATCGAACACACATTTCACTCTACTAGGATTACGAATATTATCGAGAAGAAAAAATTAACAATGCTACACGAGGGATATCTACGTCAACCGTTCCTAATTCAGCAGTGATAGAATAAAGAGAAGGCAACTAGTCCATACCACCCACCGCCAACTACTCTTTTACTAACGAATAGTGGGACTGACTGTCATATTAAAACACCTCCACGGCTGAAAATGGGAGAGAATGTTCGGTGGCGGAGATTCGAACCCGCGACCCACAGATTGCGAGTCAAGCGTTTTAACCACCGGGCCTGAACATGAAAGATGGAGCATGTTTATTATATTCAAACAGAATCAGGTATTAGTCCACGTGGGCAGTAAATGTTTCTGACAAAGTTCAATATTCAAATCAACTGTCGATAAATAATTACAAGTAACAGACTACTGAACATCTGAAAACGATAACTTTTCCTTCTCAGTTATATTTCTATAAAATATGAAAAGCACGTATAATTGTGCATTTGTGTGTGTAAATCACTATTACTAGAGATCTAACAGCATTAACTCAATGTGTATAAACTATACACAAGGAGAGAGAAACAAACAGATTGAAAGCGTAGTAGTAGTTTTGTTGAATTGTTATGGTTCGTCTAGAAAATGTGAACGAGTTATTTTGAATTGTTGTAGCTTAAATGACACTATTCGGACTGCAGGTTACCTAATCAATAGTTTGAAATGTCTCCAAGTTGCCATATGCGTTTAATGTTCTTCAAACTATTCAAGATAAAATATACACGCATGACTTAAATTCAGCAGCCGGGAGTGGGAGTGGCAAGGAAAATCAAATTACGGGTTAAAGCGTGAACAATGTCAATATGTAATGTTTTGTTACTAGACAGGAAACAGCGTACTTCAGAATAGTTTTGATTCAATATAAAATGGTTTCATATCTATACCAGACAGGAAGCACAAGCTATTTTATGACCGATACCAGACAGGAGGGTCAATGAAATTTCGGAATCTATATCAGACAAAAAGGACAAGATGAATTCAAACCTATTTCAGACAGGAAGGATAAGGTGGTTTCAGGTCTATACTAAACAAGGACACGGTTGTTTCAGACCTATTCTAGGTAGGAATGACAAGGTGATTTCAGACCTATTCCGGACTGGAAGGAAACAGCGGTTTTAGACCTTTTCCAGACAGGAAGAAGACGGTGGTTTCAAATTTATTCCAGATAGAAAGGACAAGGCGGTTTCAGACCTATTCCGGACAGGAAGGACAAGGTGGTTTCAAACATATTCCGGACAGGAAGGACAAAGTAGTTTTTGCACAATTGTCTGTTTTCAAGTGTTGATTACTTTATCGATGTAGTTTAAAAAGGAAACTGTAATTATATCACAAAGTTTTATATATACGTTTGTCATTTCGAGTACACGTAGTCAAGTGGACTAGAATTAATTCATATGGTTTATTCATCTCAGCAGTAACTTTTGTGTGAGTGATGTAAAGTCCTCACAGCGCCACTACACTAATCTACACGTTTGTCATTTCGAGTACACGTAGTCAAGTGGACTAGAATTAATTCATATGGTTTATTCATCTCAGCAGTAACTTTTGTGTGAGTGATGTAAAGTCCTCACAGCGCCACTACACTAATCTAGAGAATAATATGATCTTAAATCAACAGTAAATTGTAGACTACTTTACCATACAAGAAGAAACAGTAAAAAAGACAAACTTCATTTTGTAGAAAGTCTAATAAAACATGCAATGATGGAACACAACTTTTGGGTTTGGTTTTTGAATTTCGCGCAAAGTTACACGAGGGCTACCTGCGCTAGCCGTCCCAAATTTAGCAGTGAAAGACTAGAAGGAAGGCAGCTAGTCATCACCACCAACTTTTTGGGCTACTCTTTTATCAAAGAATAATGAGATTGATCGTCACATTATAACGCATCCACGGCTTAAAGGGCGAGCATGTTTGGTGGGACAGGGATTCGAACCCGCGACACTGAGATTGTGAGTCAAGCATTTTAACTAACTGGCCATGCCGGGCCTGAACATACACACACATACAACTTTGAGAAAAATAAACAAACAGTTATTGCAATGACTCAAAAGTTTAGGACTAGTGTAGATTAAATGGTTTAGTAAATAACAATGCAGTTTTATGCAGATTAAAGGTAATTTGTTTCTATAAACAAACATCTTATTGGTTCCCTGCGTCTATTGATACGCACGTACCACAGAGCATGTCATAACGAGAGGATCCTCTCTCTTGGTATACACAGAGTTTTCGCCTCCAACATGGCTGTCACCATTCTTAATTCATCTTTAAAGAATCTCAACAGTTTCGTCGTACTCATTCTTTAGCGTAACTGACTTCACATTCCTTATTGATATCATTACATTCAAATCAGCGGAGTAAATAATTATGATACATCCTGTATCTATTACTTTTTTCACATCTTTTAAGGTACAACTCTAGTGGCCTTTATTGTTTTCATTTAAAGTATTCTTGACGTTGGTCTAATATAACCACTAACATCAAGAATGGACGTTTGAGTAGTATTATGATGCAGGATCAGACGACAAAAGGGAGAGGGGATAAAGAAAGAGGGGAAACCAAAGTAATTTTCCACCCTGACTATTTCTTACCCTCCTGGTTCTGACGTCAGTGGTAAAGTATGTGCAAGTGCCAAGCCTTTTAACCTTTAATAGTTTTAATGTCCCTGACATAACAGGATAGAAAAGTTGTGTTTACTTGCTGATAACACGTAAGGGTTACCAAAGTGTTATTCGTTTGATAAGTTACGCCTATACTTGTGGTTACTGAAGAATTTAAAGGTATATTTTGCAACAGGGGGCGTTTATTGCATTTCAGAATACATATCTGAAATATATAGAAATGACGTGAACGGAAACTCGTGATCTTTGGATGGTGACAAACTTCATACATTTATTTATTCTGATAAAGCGTATTCAGGCCTAAAGACGCACCCGTGAAGAAAGTTATATTCAGGGTTTTCAGAAGGAAGCACTAACTTAGAACTATTGTAGCCAATATAATCAGGAGAGTTGAAGAGAAAATTTACTTATAGCTATCGTAGCCCTCATAATCATTTTCAACATAAAACTAGCAGAAATTGTGTAGCCCCTATAATCAATTTTCAAAAACAGAACCATTACAGCACCTGTGATCAGGAGTTTTCAGGAGAGAAAATTAATCTAGAACCGTTATATTTCCTCTAATCAGAAGTTTATTTCAGGAGAGAAAATTAACCTAGAACCGTTTTATTTCCTCTAATCAGAAGTTTATTTCAGGAGAGAAAATTAACCTAGAACCGTTTTATTTCCTCTAATCAGAAGTTTTCAGGAGAGAAAATTAACCAAGAACCGTTATATTTCCTCTAATCAGGAGTTTTCAGGAGAGAAAATTAAACTAGAACCGTTTTATTTCCTCTAATCAGGAGTTTTCAGGAGAGAAAATTAAACTAGAACCGTTTTATTTCCTCTAATCAGGAGTTTTCAGGAGAGAAAAGTAATCTAG